TAAGAGAACATACTTTGGCAGCAAGGTAGCCACTGTGAAGAGCTAGGTCCTCCTCCATAGTTATATTATGTTGTCTTCTGTCAAGCTGCAAGGCAGCCACTGTTCAGGAGAATCCAGATTATACTATACATGTATTCGTTGAAATTCTGGTGTCACTGAATATGTCATGCTTCAAATAAAAAGCAAAGCTGATTCTTTTATGAACTTTTTGTCCGTCTTTACTTTAATGAGTAATTATTTTTCTTTAGTAGTTTGAGGAAGTTGTTTTGTTTATTTATTTATTTATGGAGTGAGCGTTCTGTGAAACAAGTTTATCCTGAAAAGAGTGGCTCATAATTGGAATGGCGACCGGCCTTTCTCACCAAATGTGTGGTGAGTTAGTTGAGAATTGCTACCTTTCAAATTAAAATCCTAGAATTTGTTATCTAATACCTAATAGAATTACCGGTATCATAAAATAATTTTTTTTTAAAAAAAAAAAAATGGGATGGCCTTTTCATTATACTCAGCCTCCCGAGTCAAGTGCCGATATGATAGGCATGCCTCATATATGCTTGTATCGGGTCAATTAATCCTGGATATTGGTCTACTTTGTTGAAGTGGAAGCTCTAAAAAACTTTCAATCATAGAATCACTTGAACTGTTTGCAATGCAATTCTATTTAATATACTATATAGTTGTTGGCTGAATATATAGTTGTGAGCAGCAATTAATTAACCTTGGATATATATTTGTGTTTCTTCTGCATGGAAGCGCTGACCTTAATCCTTGCGCCCCAATGCACCAGCCGGTAAATGAAGGGTTCTTCAAATAAATATAGAAGAGAGGAATGAGAATAATATTTGTTTTCCCAAATATAAATGTTATGTTTAAATAAGAGAATTATGCATATAACCTGTTTGTTATCATGGAAACTTGTTGTGCTGATCCCTTATTTAAGTAACAGGGACGCTCAGAGAATGAGAAATCCATAACAAACCTCAATCTTAATATGGGCGTTACAAATAGAAAATTCTATATATATTATTTGTCAAGGAGTTGTTTAGTTTTAGATATACTAGGAGACAGAAGAGAAGAGCATATACCACCAAGCGGACGGAGGGGCCCATTGCCAGGCCCAAGTTGAAGTCCAGCCGTGAAGGCCCGGGCCCATCCATGAGCATTTATTTCCCTATAATACAGTGTCCACAGTTGCCTTCCGCTTAGGGATAGCCACCCGCTATTCAATTGACACGTGTCACTGAAACCTGCTACAAATAAGGCACCTCACTCACACACACAGCGTCTCCTCAACTGGTAACTAGAGCTTTCTGATCATTCTATTATGAATTTTTTATGTTATTGTAATGATAATAATAAATGCATGTTTTGTTTTGTTTTTGTTTTTGTTCATCCATCTGTAGGTATTTATTTATAGATTTCGACCACACATGGCAAGCATCACAGCTTCACACTTTGTGTCAAGAAGCTCAAATGTCCAAACTTCACTAGACACCAAATCAACCTTGTCACAGATAGGACTCAGGAACCATACTCTGACACACAATGGGTTAAGGGCTGTTAACAAGCTTGATGGGCTCCAATCAAGAACTAATACTAAGGTAACACCCAAGATGAGATCCACCAAGTCAGCTACCATTGTTTGTGGAAAGGGAATGAACTTGATCTTTGTGGGTACTGAGGTTGGTCCTTGGAGCAAAACTGGTGGACTAGGTGATGTTCTTGGTGGACTACCACCAGCCCTTGCAGTAAGTCTTACCTACTCATGATTCATTCTTTTGTTTCTAATGCACCAATTACAGCTTCATTATCATTTTAGGCCCGCGGACATCGGGTAATGACAATATCCCCCCGTTATGACCAATACAAAGATGCTTGGGATACTAGCGTTGCCCTTGAGGTACTCCTTCCTATATATACTTTTCATACATACAACAATATATATTCAACAATGTTTATCTGCAGGTCAAAGTTGGAGACAGCATTGAAATTGTTCGCTTCTTTCACTGCTATAAACGTGGGGTTGATCGTGTTTTTGTTGACCACCCAATGTTCTTGGAGAAAGTAAGCAAGCATATTATGATTATGAATACATTTTGAACATCTTTTAACTCTACTGGTGCTTTTAAGGTTTGGGGCAAAACTGGTTCAAAAATCTACGGCCCCAAAGCTGGACTGGATTATCTGGACAATGAACTTAGGTTCAGCTTGTTGTGTCAAGTAAGTTACTTGTTATACTGTTGTCTTGGAATTTTATGTGGCATTTTACTTTTTGTCTTTAATCGTTTTCTCAACCTTATTTTCTCAGGCAGCCCTAGAGGCACCTAGAGTTTTGAATTTGAACAGTAGCAACTACTTCTCAGGACCATATGGTAACACATCCTAGTTTCACTAGCAACCATAGTATATCATTGTAGGTAATCAACGCCTATTCCTGCAGGAGAGGATGTTCTCTTCATTGCCAATGATTGGCACACAGCTCTAATTCCCTGCTACTTAAAGTCAATGTACCAGTCCAGAGGAATCTATTTGAATGCCAAGGTAAAATTTATTTGTATACACTTGATTGCACTTTACCCTTCATATCAGTAAGGTTGTATTAATATATGATAAATTTCACATTGCCTCCAGGTCGCTTTCTGCATCCATAACATTGCCTACCAAGGCAGATTTTCTTTCTCTGACTTCCCTCTTCTCAATCTTCCTGATGAATTCAGGGGTTCTTTTGATTTCATTGATGGGTATGTATTTAATGCTTGAAATCAGACCACCAACTTTTGATGCTAGTAAATTCAGTTCTTAAAATTTTGCAGATATGAGAAACCTGTTAAGGGTAGGAAAATCAACTGGATGAAGGCTGGGATATTAGAATCACATAGGGTGGTTACAGTAAGCCCATACTATGCCCAAGAACTTGTCTCTGCTGTTGACAAGGGTGTTGAATTGGACAGTGTCCTTCGTAAGACTTGCATAACTGGGATTGTGAATGGCATGGATACACAAGAGTGGAACCCAGCGACTGACAAATACACAGATGTCAAATACGATATAACCACTGTAAGATAAGATTTTTCCCCACTCCAGTATATACTAAATTATTTTGTATGTTTATGAAATTAAAGAGTTTCTTGCTGATCAAAATCTCCATACAGGTCATGGACGCAAAACCTTTACTAAAGGAGGCTCTTCAAGCAGCAGTTGGCTTGCCTGTTGACAAGAAGATCCCCTTGATTGGCTTCATCGGCAGACTTGAGGAGCAGAAAGGTTCAGATATTCTTGTTGCTGCAATTCACAAGTTTATCGAATTGGATGTTCAAATTGTAGTCCTTGTAAGTACCAAATGGAATCATTCTATCTTTCTTGTTGAGTTTACTTGTGCTGAAACTGAAATTGACCTGCTGCTCATCCTATGCATCAGGGAACTGGCAAAAAGGAGTTTGAGCAGGAGATTGAACAGCTCGAAGTGTTGTACCCTAATAAAGCTAAAGGAGTGGCAAAATTCAATGTCCCTTTGGCTCACATGATCACTGCTGGTGCTGATTTTATGTTGGTCCCAAGCAGATTTGAACCTTGTGGTCTCATTCAGTTACATGCTATGCGATATGGAACAGTAAGAACCATAAGAGCTTGTACCCTTTTACTGAGTTTTAAAAAAAAGAATCACAAGACCTTGTTTTTCGTCTAAATTATAAATGCCAACTAAATGTTACTGCAGCAAGCTTTTCATTTCTGAAAACTAGTTATATCTTATTTTAACATAATCACACGTGACGTGAGTCAGGTGCCAATCTGTGCCTCAACTGGTGGACTTGTTGACACTGTGAAAGAAGGCTATACTGGATTCCATATGGGAGCCTTCAATGTTGAAGTATGTGATTTTACATCAATTGTGTACTTGTACATGGTTCATTCTCGTCTTGACATTAACTAATTGCTTCTTGAATATGGTTAGTGCGATGTTGTTGACCCAGATGATGTGCTTAAGATAGTAACAACAGTGTCAAGAGCTCTTGCAGTCTATGGCACCCTTGCGTTTGCTGAGATGATAAAAAATTGCATGTCAGAGGAGCTCTCTTGGAAGGTAGGTGTCAAATTGATAATTTGTATAGGCACTTCAGTTTTGTTGTTCTCGTCAGCACTGATGGATGCCAACTGGTGTTCATGCAGGAACCTGCCAAGAAATGGGAGACGTTGCTATTGGGCTTAGGAGCTTCTGGCAGTGAACCCGGTGTCGAAGGGGAAGAAATCGCTCCACTTGCCAAGGAAAATGTAGCCACTCCCTAAATGAGCTTTGGTCTTATCCTTGTTTCAACAATAAGGTCATTAATTATGTAGAACCCTAATATGGGGTCTCAGTCATCTATAAAATGAATGGTTTTTGCTGGGGAGCAGCAGGTTAATGTTTTTGTAGGGAAGGGTCAATAGAAAATAGTTATTACTAATGTTTGCGACTAAATGCTTAGTAATGTTAGCATAAATAATACTAGTAGCTAATATGCGTGAATTTGTTTTACTTTTTCTTGCATAATTATTTGCAGTACATATATATAAATTACCCAAGGAATCAATGTTTGTGGCTCCGTCCTTTGATGAATACAGAGCTAGTGTGGCAAGTTATAAATTTTGTTTAAAAGAAGCAAACTAGTTGGTTGGTCATATGAAAGAAAGAAGCTGGCTAACTTTGAGGAGATGGCTGTTGAATTTCAAAGTGAAAACAATGCAACATCGAAACCAAGTATGTCAATGAACACTTTTAAATTAGAAAAGAGAGATATTTTTGAGCCCATGACACATTATTAATTCATAAAGTAAGGTAGCATGATTGAATGGACTACAGCTCAATCAAAGCAAAGCATCTCCTTTACATAACGGCACCTGTCTCTTTGTCTACTACTCTATTGCTAGTACAACTAGTAGTAGTAATGAATGCTACAATCCAAATTGAATAGTAGTAAAAAGATGCTCTCTATTTACTAAAGTAAGTATTATTCTTTCGTCACTCTAAAGCAATTAAACTTAAAATGCTACTTTTAGCACTAAGATTGTTGATGGTATTTTTATAGTAAAGAGAAGATAAAAAAAAAAAGCAGGCAGGCGCTACGTTACTTATAACCACCACCACTCGGCGGCACTTTAGTTGCTTTTACTCTGTTCTTTCTCCTTTAGCTCCTTCCTTCCTTGAGTCATTTGATGATGGAATCCAATCCCAATCCCATCTCCTCTTCTCTTCTCCTTTTTCTGCTGTTTTTTACTCCAACTATGGTGGCTCCTCTAGGTATCAACTACGGGCAAATTGCCAACAATCTGCCCTTACCGGAAAACGTGGTACCATTAGTCAAATCCATCGGAGCTACCAGAATCAAGCTCTATGATGCTGACCCACATGTCCTCAAAGCCTTTGCTAACACCGGCGTTGAGTTCATCGTCAGTCTTGGCAATGAGTACCTTGCCAAGATGAAAGATCCTTCTAAAGCTCAATCATGGGTTAAAAATAATGTCCAACCTTACTTACCTGCTACTAAAATCACCTGCATCGCTGTCGGTAATGAAGTTCTCACCTTTAACGATACCATCCTCACCGACAACCTCCTCCCTGCAATGCAAAGTGTCCACACTGCTCTTGTTAATCTCAAATTGGACAAGCAAGTCACTGTCACCACCGCACATTCTCTTGCTATTCTACAAACTTCCTATCCCCCATCGGCTGGAGCTTTCCGTCGGGATCTTGTCAACTGTGTTACCCGGATCGTGGACTTCCATTGCAAAACTGGCTCACCTTTTCTTATTAATGCTTATCCTTACTTTGCTTACAAGGGAAATCCAAAGCAGGTCTCCCTTGATTTCGTGCTATTTCAGCCCAACTCTGGTATCGTCGATCCACAGTCCAATCTACACTACGACAACATGCTTTTCGCTCAGATCGATGCTGTTCACTCTGCTTTAGCTTCCATCGGCTACAAAAACGTCTGCGTGCAGATCTCGGAGACGGGATGGCCGTCAAAGGGAGACGCCGACGAGGCCGGAGCTACACCGGAGAATGCTAGGAAATACAACTGTAATCTAATGAAGCTTATTGGTCAGAAGAAGGGTACACCCATGAGGCCTAACTCGGATTTGAACATATACGTATTTGCCTTGTTCAATGAGAACCTCAAGCCTGGTCCTAGTTCTGAGCGAAACTATGGCCTGTTCAAGCCGGACGGATCTCAGGCTTACCCCTTAGGAGTCCCGGCAATCAACGCAGCGAGTACGAATAGCAGCAGCTCCGGTGGGTCTGGATCTACACCATCAGCGTCAGTGCCACTGCCGCCAGCAAGCTCCTCCTCCGGTTATCTAGCCATTACTTCTGATTCGGTGAGCTTCTTCTTCATTTTCTATATATATTATTTTGTTATTTCTAGATATACTAATATTCTTCCTTTCCTTCTCAGGTGAAAAGTCTTTCTACCGTGCAGCTTCTCTACCTTGCCCCTTTTATTTCACTGGCACACTTTGTGAGCTTTGGTTACACCACTTGTAATACAAATGTTTGTATTCTTTGATTATTTTTTATGGTATTATTAGTTAGATTTATAAGACAATACAATAGCTTCCAATCGGTTTGTTCTAACTTTATGGCTTTCATTCAACTATGTCCATTGTTTTCATCTACAAGAAAATGTCGTAGTAAAAACTTCTTCATCAAACTCTCATGCTGCTATATGTAATTAGATTTAAAAAAAGAAGGCCTGGTCCTTGAGTACAACTTCTTCACTAAAAAATGATAAGAACACTACTACTCTACAAGAGTATAATGCCTAATACGGATACCCAAGACTTACAAAATTTCTCTTAAAAAAAGACACTAGAGCCTCATCCAATTTCTGTTTTCCTCTTGGTGCGCCTCTTACTGATAGAGCACCTACTTCTAATTTACCTAGGGATAAGATGAGCCCCAACCACGTTAGCCCCCTGCCGGACAGCCAAGAATTCAGACCTTATCAAGTGGGGATAAGAGATACCAGTCGAGCATTTTCAAGAGCTTCTATGGCACTGATAGGACCCTCCCACAACTCCATCTTGTTGAGCTTTAACTCTTCGATAGAACAACACGTAGGCAGCTGATGTTTTGATATCCGATTCAGCAACAGGTGAAACATGGGAATCATCAAAATGATACCATCTGTCGTCATCAATCAACTGCCAATTAAAAGAACCCATCAGTTGTTTGCAAGTATACAATGAACCTACAGTCAACCAAGACCATACGACCCCCTTGGCCGAGATTCAGTTCAATATTCTCACTATAGTATATTAACAGCTCCTGATTTCTTGCTATCTCAAGAAGAATATATTCTAGTTAGCAATTACAATATTCAACAAGAGAACAAGACAAAATAAAAAGTACCTTACAGTAAGCTGTGTAATGCCCACCACCTAGTCCACCATAATGGTTGCTTATTGCATATAGCTCATACACATGGGAGCTCTCAGATAAATCCGTACTTTTCACATACTTGCTTAAATCCAGATTATGTATGGGAAAATTCACAAACGTATCAAGCTTGTTCTTCAGCCATCGGCTATAAGAGAACCGCTTTAAGTGGAAAACAAGTATGTCCGGTAATCTCCATAGATCTAACTTCTTGGAGGCTTGTCTATGCTCCTTGCAGCGAGGACAGTACCTGAATTAAAATCATAAACATACACTTAAAATCCACATCAAGTGGACAAAACTTAAAAGAAAACATCTCATGACATACCACATATCATCTGGTCCTAAAGGTTCCTCCTTTAGGAAGGCCTCCAAACACGAAAATAAGGATATAGCTTCTTGCTTGGTTTTCTTCACTGTAAGTCCACTTTTGTGAACCTCTGGAAGGTCTTTGAGGTAGCTCGCATCATATAGCTCATATTCCTTCTCAGTCCAATCCAATATAACCTTTTGCATTCTAACTGGTTCAATCACCGTATCTTTTGCAACGGGCCTGCAGTTAGTACCCCGTTCATCAGTTAAACAAAGATGAAATGTCAGCTCCATGCTGGAATTCCCCACTGGATCTATGCACTCTGTTGATTGACCTTCACAACCAAATTGGATAGTGCAGCTGTTCATTGGTACTTCAATTGTTTCCGAGGGAGAACCATTGTCGGAACCATCCTTAAGACCAGGTGCTGATGAGATAAATGATTTCCTTCTTAATGGAGCAAGTACCTTATGGACAGCAAAATCAATATCAGCTCCGTTATGTGGGTCTTCCAAGAAAGTAACAAGGGGTGTCAAGAACAACTTCCTCTCACTGGCCTTCGAACTGTCTATGATACACCTGGAGAAAATGCATGATGGTTAACGGCAGGTGAAGACACAAGTATAGTCAAGACACCAGTCTTGAATAGTTACTTTTCTTGACGAGTGATTAGTATAATAACTAGTAAAAAAGTCAACTAAGAAATTCAGAATTAACTTCATTCTTCGTCAGTTATTAACCTCAATAACGAATTTATACTATTGAATGTGAACACACACCAAATTGAGAGTAATCACAAATTCACGAGTCCACATTTTCACTCAAGTTGCTAAAAAGCAATACTAGGAGAAGACCTTGTAAATTATCAAATGCATGAAAAATGGATCATGACGAATGGGACAGCTGGTGGGCAAAAAATAACAGAATTTTTAATTTTAACAGCTTATAAATTAGCACAAGATCCGAGAATTTTTTTAAAAAAATTAAGTACCAATATAATCCAAGGATTTAAACTTACTTTTCCCGGTACCTGTGACTAATCTCCAGTCTTGTCAGTTGTGCCCCCCTTTTCGGGAGCCTGTATGCAACAATATGTTCATCATCCTTAACTGAATTCAAAATCTCTGTAGGGTTCTCAAAGTATCGAAATACCCGATGATCATAGACCTGTTCAGGAGACATATTATGAAACAAACAGTAGCACAGTTCGAACAAGCCAACACAAAATATTTACATGTGTACACGATTTTGGTACAAACATTTGCATAGGCATGCACATGTCCGGTACCCATACATAATGTGAACAAATAGCAAAAAAAACATTACCTCTGCAAGTAGCAGGTATTCATCAATCCTTAAGCAGCATGCGTTTTCTAAAGCCTGTGCAAGATCTTTAATATAACCATGTTTTAAGACGGTAACAGTATATGGCATTGGAAGGCCACTGCCATCACTATAAAACACTGTTACTGTCATTGTCTTTGTGACGGTTGAAGGAAGTGGTAGAGACAAATACATGAAGGGATCAAACGTTATGGAGATTTTTTTGCAGTCAGGGCAAACCAGCGTAGACTTATATTGGCCCTGAAATAAATAGCTTCAGTATGAGTGAACTTGATGGCCATATGCACTAACAAGAAAACAAACATCAATTTCAGATGCGTTATATCCCAACAAAGTTCTATCCAAACATTACTGGAAGTGAAATAGCCTTTGTCACCAGAAAGAAAAAAAAAGTGACTATCAGCCTCCAGTAAGTGTCGAACTCAAGCTGACATAGGGAAGAGAAAAAGAAAAAGATAATAACAATTCCCAGGACTAAAAATATAAAACCACTTGCATAAAGGTCAATCAAGACAGTCCCAGTCGATAAAGAAAGAAAATGACAAAAAGCTAAGAACCTGGCAAATATCAACTATAACAGAGTCATTTCTGGCTCTGTGGTATCTCCAAAGCTCGTTAGCAACTTCTTCATCTGGACGACCGTCTGAGTCCTTTGTCTCAAAATACGGCTTTTGCTTGACGCGATTTAAATCTTCATGTAATCCATCCAAGAGGAAGGCGAGTAGTTCCTATAAATAGAAGCATATCACTTACTGAAAATCTAGCAGCATTTCAAGAGAAATGTGTTTCCGAACATATAGGTAAAGGAAACATATGAACTTAAGGCCCTGCCTATAGTGGGAAAAACTACCCGCAATATTCTAGCAACAAAAAACAACAGGCTCTACAAGTAGCTAATACATGGTACATTTATTATCAGATGATACAGAAGCATTCCTAAAGACCAAAATTAGCATTGAGCAAACCCTGTGGAAAATATGACAATCTCAGCCAAGACGAGCCAAACCAACCTGAGAGTCATGCTGGTTATATCCGCTAAACTGGGGAGCAAATCGACCAAGTTTTCCCTTGAATGCACGGGGTGCCACGGGTGTTCGACCAGAGGACCATAGTTTCCTCAATAGTTCACCAAATGCAAGTGCAAGCTCACCCTGTAAAACTACAACAGATATTAGAAACTTGAATATAAATCTCTTCCATACGAAAAGTTCACAACATAGACAAAAGAAGCAACATTACATGCATCCCCAAAGGATTCTGTCTGTTAATCTCATCAGTGTAATCTTGCAAGAAGTATTCGACGAGCGGAGGTGTATGAACCAGACACTGAAGTGCACTATTCATGAAGCATGTGTTTCCCAGATTGGATAATCCTGCCAACCCTCCCCTTTCGCCTTTACTTGCAGGCCTCAGACTATCATATCCATCCTCCATATCGCCATAACTAGAGTTCAAAGAACTCCCTTGATATGCATTGGAGCTATATCCAGTAGAGAAACCATTGGACAATGTTGGACCACCAGCAATTGTGACAGATGATCTCAGAGGTTCAACTGGAACCAATGCCAAGTCGTTTCCTGTTGAATCGAAGCCAAAACCAGAAGGCAGTGACCCTTCAGGTTGCACCTCCAGGAGAATCTGGCAGGAGATCATTCCATCAGTAAAGATTTACTAGAAAGCATGTGTTCACTTATTCTGCGATTATTTTTTCTTGTTCCACAAACCAAGCATTGTACTACTTATGCGAGATTTTATGCTCAGATTATTTTAGTTGATGTGGTAAACCAAAGGGCCCCTCTTACTAATGCATATCACTATCAGCTGGTATTTCTCATTTTTCATACGACAATAGTAATGTAGAGAGGACATATTGTATGAAAAACTCACATCTTGATCCATCTGCAGGTTGGAGTCCTCCAGTGTTTGGTTTGAAGCAACTAACTTTGTATGCTTCGTTTTTTCAAAATAATCCCAGATGTGTGCCTGTACAATCGAAGAAGTGATAAGAAGGGTATAGCTTTAGTCTCATTTTAAGAAAACTTTGCTTGATGACATGAAATAAAACTAGATAATGTCCTGATTTTAAAAAGAAACGAACCTTTTCTGGCGCAATTTCTTTGAGTCTACACACTATGGTATAGAGTTCATGTAAAGATGCCTGAAACATATTACACCATTTTAAAGTTGCTAAATAACTGGGAAAAGAAAACATATTTAAACAACAGAACAAAACACCAAAAAAGCGATCAGATGATACAGCTAGTACGGTCAAATTGATCTACCTCCACATAGCTAACAGTTCCACCCATTTATTAAGTTATAAAGGGTGCAGAATTACATAAGAAGACCACCATGATTCAAATAGCAAGTTTATGTATTGCTCCAATAGAATATCAGACATCATTTTCTATGCCCCACCCCACCATCCCTAAGAAACCATGTTTTCGAATTGATAATAACAAGATGATTGAGATTGTTACAGCAAAAGCAATCATCAGATAGTGCATTTACCAGTGTCATTCTTAAACAGCCAATAGATGGCCAAATGAATGGAGAAGCAG